ATGGAGGCGCAGTGGGTAGAGGAGGCCGCCACGTGGGTTTCTGCGCAGGTGCGGTCCGCCCCCCCAGCAGAGCGGCCCCCCGAAGGCAGTAGGGGCCGGGGTGCCGGGCGGGCTTTGCTTTGTGAGAGGCACACGGGGAAGCAGGCCAGCCGAAGCCACCTCCCTTCCTCCCCCTCGTTGCCAGACCAGGGAGGATTTCCCAGGAATGGAGCCTTTCTGGATATTTCGCTCCTGGGAGAGCTGCTGCTCCTTTTCATCCTCTGTGCCGGGCAGGAGGGCCCGGGGCTTCTCTGTCGGGCTCCTCCCCGGGCACTTGTCTTGCAGAGCAGGTCTCAAGTTTGAGCCTGGCTGGAAACTCTGCACTGCCTCGTGCCCCGTGTGGGGCGTGGGAAAGAGAGCCGATGGCCCGCAGACCTGAGAGAAGCCTCTGTGGGTGAACCACTCTGACCCTCTCCTGCCCTTGTCTTGTCTGTTGTCTTCCTCCCGTGGTAGTTTTCTGTGAGGATGGAGCTGTGGTGGCTTCCAGTCATTTCTCAGACATTTTATTCCTCTCTGCTTGCTGTCACCCAAGAATTCCTAAAACTCTCTGGTCTGGCCATGGTACTATTTTGTGGTTTGTGGTGATGGTGATGCGTGTTTGTTTTCAGTGCTCTTTTGGATTTTAAAATACCTTTCCCATCAGACCATTAGTATGGCAGATAAAAATATGGCCAAAAAGGGCTGAGCCCCACAAGTACTGCTTGGTCTTCGATGGTCGCCTCTCTCCAGGCTACCACTGATCTTGATTTAGTTAGACTGAATGACTTCTGCTGGTCTAACATGGTAATTTCCTCCTCACAACTGGATGAATAAAATCTATAATCCTGTAGAAAATACGTCTTTTCTATCATCTTAGGGGTTTGGAGTAAGAGGTGAGGTTCAATATTCTCATCCTGTCTCCTTCCACCATTTTTAACTATCTGCCATGACACAAACATGTGCCATATCAAAAGTGAATTGTGTCATGGGTACCTCATCTGACTTGACCTACATTAGGAAGGACAGCAGAGCACAAGCCCCTATTTCCCTCAGGCCACAGAACAAGAACTAATCCACGATACTGCTGCCTTCTTCCTTGGGCAGACCCTGAATTCAGCATGAATTGTAAGAACATGTGTGTTCATTCACCTGATGAGCTGGTAATAATGCCATCCTGTGCTTGTGCTATATTTCCAGTGTATCAATACTTTGTGTATATTAACTCATTCAATCTTTATGACAACCCTGTATTATTCCCATTTTACAGATGCAGAAACAAGGCATTATGCCAATCACATCGCTAGGAAGTTCCTGATTTAGATCTCCAATCCAGTGCCCTTTGCACGACCAGATGCTGCTTCTCTTGAGAAGAGCAGACTAGAGTTATGGATATTTTAAGCATTCTTGACAGTTTGTTGTAATTACCACAGCAGTAGGACCATGTGTCATGGAAGAATAAGGGTGGGAGGACCAATTTTAGCTAGGAGAGATGACATCTGAGTCGGGCTTGCAGCAGAACAAAATATAGCAAAGAGAGAAGCATGTGGAAGGTCATGGAGGCACAAAAAAGCCTCACATGTGAGAGGAATGCAGAGGTGTCTGGTATGGTTGGAGCAGAGAGCAGAGCCGTGAGGTAAGGAGTGAAGAGAGGGCAGACAGAGGAGTCCGGAAAAGTAGATTGAGATCTGTCTTCACAGAGCCTTGTAGGATGATGAGGGAGGCTTTCTGGACCGACTGAGCTCGTGGTACCTGTGGCTTATCTGGGAGGAGATGGTCAGGAAACTCTTGGAGCTCAGGAACAGCATTGTTTGAAGATAAAGATTTAGGTCTCAGCATTACATAGATGAAAATTGGGGGGTTTTCCCCAGGGAGAGAAGGGAGAACACACTGAGCACAGAGCTGACAGCAGAATCTTGGAGCATAGCACAACTCAGGAAGTGAACGAAAGAACAATAGACGAGAGAAGGCACAAGAAGAAACACTTAGAAAAGCGGGGGGGGGGGGGGGTGGTGGATACGGAAGATGGGAGCTCCGGGCAGTGCTCAGCGGCTGGTGTAGAGCAGCAGGGAGTTGAAGAGATTGCAAAAATTCTTTAAATGCTTTACCATCTTCACCTCTCCTCTGCCACACTCCGGTGCAGATCCTAAGATGACCCAGAATGGCTCAAAGGCAGCCTTGAACCACTGTGTCCAATGCTGCATCGAGGATCTGACAGCGTTCTTCATCATAGGTTTTAACTCTTGGATGAAATAGAACTATTTTCATTTTATTTTTTATTGAAGTATAGTTGGCATACATAATCAGTTCTATATGGGATTTATAGATTCTAAAGGCAGTGCTTTTATTTTAATCTCTAAGAGTTGATCAGTATGGAGTTCACATCAATAATATTGTAAACACTTCTCCTAAACTCAGAGATCTCCCAAAACTTTGAATCTGTCAAGATTTCAGAGCTAAATTCCAACCTTTTCTTTTCCCAGCTGAGTTTTCTTCCTCCCCATGGTGGTGAGAATGAGACTTGGCAACTGTTTTCCCTTTTAGCCAGGCTTCTAGGAGGGTCCGTGCTATTTGCAGCTGATGTCAAGTAGCAGGAACCGCAGGGCTGCTCCTCCTGCTGAAGAGCCATAATCCTATTATGCCGACCTGAGACTTTCACGTTAGCTGCCTCTATCCTGGTAGATGGACTGAGGTGACTCAATTGACTTTTAAATCCCCAAGGGTCCCAGTTTCAAAATCCCCAGGTCTAAGTCAAGTAGTAGATTAGGCCCCTTACTAAGAAGGCCTGGCTTCCCGGGAGTCCCCATGGCTATAGCTTTCTCTTCGGTGTCTTTGGGTCTCATACTTCCTGAGTTCCATCCATAAGCACTGGATTGGTGCACAGTTGTGTCCTTCAGTAGTGATCCTTCACAGGAGGTGAAGCTGCCTGGCATCCCCCTGGGTCATGGATTTAATACCTGTTCCTTTGAATAGTCAGGATTAGGAAACATATCCTCTGTTGTTGCTGTAAAAGAAAGATCACATTCTTTAGTTCATGTCAAAGCTGCCCTTGAGAAGGTAATGTGCAAGGTATGCAAAGAGCTTTCTTCCTCCAGTTAGCCACACTTGATCTGTCAAGTCCCTCATATTATATATATAATATGGTTGCAAAATTATTTAATCCAGTCAATTATTTTAGAATGTTTACAACTCAGTTTTGATTGCTCAGACTATTTATCCAATAACTCACAAAGTTTCAGATGTAATTTGCTGACCCAAATTTCATACTTTATCTCTAAGTTTGTTTAACTTCTTAAACAAGGGTTTGAGCTTTGAATATCACTTTTCTGGGTTTTTTTTTTTTCCACTTAAATAATATGCAGGTACCTTCACATTCACTACTTCTTTAGCTCTCACACCTCTCTCAGGAAGGTATTGTCCCCAATTTACAGATGAGAGTGACACTAATGTCACATGGCTGGTGAGTGGTTGCACTGAGGTTAAAACTTGATCTTTGGACTCAAAATCTAGTGCTCTGTCCAGCACACCAACACCCCCAAATTTATTTGAACACGGAACACTTTTTAAAATGTAACGTAATTGGGGCGCCTCAGTGGGTCAGTCGTTAAGCATCTGCCTTCAGCTCAGGTCATGATCCCAGGGTCCTGGGATCGAGCCCCACATTGGGCTCCCTGCTCAGCAGGAGGCCTGCTTCTCCCTCTCTCTCTGCTGCTCCCCCTGCTTGTGTTCCTGCTCTCGCTATCTCTCTCTCTATCAAATAAATAAATAAAATCTTTTAAAAAAATAAAAATAAATAAAATGTAACATAATTAAGGATGAAACACCATCATTAGCTCATTAAGGTTTAAATATTTAACATAGAGTAACATTAAGGAATATCATAAATTATTGAAATTTTAGGACAAAATACATCAAATGGACTGATGGTTATATAGTAGGTAACATATATGACTGCCCCAATTAGCTGAGAGTAAATGCTGCCTGTCCATCCACATAGCACTTTGAGAATTAATAGCCCATTTGTTTGTTTTTAAGTTTCAAAAACATATTTGCCAGGGCTTCGAATTATATTGCAGAGAGCAGTAAAAACCCAAATTATTGACCAATCATATCAATTATCATTGGTGTATAATTAAACACTATTAGTGATTGCAGAATAATCACAGACAAGAAAGATGATTAGGAATCCACTCAGTCCTCCCATGCCAAAATGTCCATAACACCCTCATATCCTATCCTTAGAGGCAGGTTATTAGAAATTAGTTTTATAATAATTTATAGAAAAAAACTTTCGATACAACACTGATTGACATCTTATGGAAGACTGGTCATCCACGGAACAGATTTTGGAAAATGAGAGTGTATACCTTCCTTCTCTCCCTTTCTTACTAATCCCAGGGGCTCTGCTCATCTCATGCCCTCATTTCCTCAGGGACAGGTGAGAAAATGTTGAGTCTATATTAACCTTCTATTTGAGCCTTACGCTAGAAGCAGATTACATAACCCACAACAGTAGTGGCAGGAGCTTTATTCTGTTAGGCTAAGACATCACACAGGATCCCAAGGAATTTGGATCAATCATCTAGTTGATGAAATCAATTGTTCCTAGTTTGTTAAAAGACAAGTTTTGTAGTTATTGATTCAGATGACAATGAAAAGCAATTTTTAGAGCAATCATCACGAAGTGAGAGATAAGTTTACCAACTATAATGTGAGTGGAATTATTCTTCCACTTGGATTGGAAGGGAAGATTGGAGGGGAAGAGTACTGTATGCACATCCTTCCATCAAGGAACACATTCATTTCAAAAATTCTTTTAGGGATTATAATGGCATGATCTTTCCCTTTGTCAGTATCTTTTTGCAGAGATTTCTCCTAAGAAATCCCCCCTAAACACATTACTGATCACTGAATCCATTTCTATATTTCAAGCTTTTGCAATGACTTTTTTCTCATTGTTTTCTTTTTACTTTTTTTCTTTGTAGACCTGGCCAGAGGACCGTGGATGACCTAGAGATTATCTATGAAGAGCTCATTCACATTAAGGCCTTATCTCATCTTTCTACCACAGTAGGTTGTCTCCTAGTTGAGCATGGTCAGGGAGGTGGGAGTGGTAAATGCCCTGTTAGCAGCGGAGAAGAGTATTATGGTATGGGGGTGGTGGTGAAGGAATGCCTGAATTCTACCTCATAAATCACCCCTACTCTCCCTCATCAGATGCTAAGGAGGTTATACCCAAGAACAATCCCAAAATGGGATCAATTATTTTCACGTTGTTAGTAGTTGTCCATGTGCCCTAAACCCTAAAGCAGTATAAGTGAGTGGGACTGAAGAATGTACTTCATCCTTCCAAGCCTGAATCTTGGTTAGACAAGAGAACTAGGCCTTAAGAGGAGCTCTGAGACCCTTCCGTGAAATAAGAGAGCCGGAAGGAGGAAAGAGAGACATCAAGATGGCCTGTCTTGGCCCACAGGGTCAGCTCTGCCCGGGTTTGCTGCCCTACTGAGAGGAAGCGGAGGGTTCGAGAGAACATTGCTTCAAATGTTTTAGAGCCCCGTAGCAGTTCCCACTAGTGAAAAATGGCCTCAGTGCTATATCAGACTCTGGACGTTTACACGATTAGGTTATTTAGGAAGGCAGTGGACAGAAATTTGGCCTCTGAATAGGGACAGAAACACTTCTTCCCATAGGAGGAATACAGGAATGTGATTTCCAGGTAACGCAAGTCTCCTATATGCTAATAACTCAATAACAATGGTAAATAGAAGTTGTTTCAGTGTTCACAGATCCTATCGAAGGCCCCTCGGCAACATCTCCATGCCTAATTTGCCTTTCATTCCCAGCTCACTAGGTGGCGTTGTGCCATCACTTGGTTGCAGTGCCTGTGGTACTGGGTGGGGGTGGGGGTGGGGGGTGGGGCGGTGGGGGTGGGGGTCAGGTCTCCTGAGAGCGGTGAGGAGCTTGCTTTGCCACAGCTCCAAGCAAAGGGCTCCAAACCCTTCCCGCTTCGACTCAGATGGAGCCGCCTTCCCATTCCTCTCTGCTGCACTCCTGGGGATCTAGAAGCTTGCTTCCCACACACCATTGCCCTTGTCATCCTCACTCTGTCCATTAGGGTGGGGATAGGTCTAATGCCTGGGCGCCTCAGCTGGGGTGCCCCTGCCCGTGTAGGCATCATGAGTTCATCATGCTGTAGAGGGAAGGGAGGGGAGACTCGTTTTCCCTACCTGTGCTCCAGGTTCCCAGCATGCTCCTGCTGTGACTTGCCCAGCTTGGTGGAATTGAGAGGACTGTGGGGAGTCTCCTCTTCTGGCTCAAACCCTGGGTCCCCAGGCACTGTGGGAAATTCTCAGGTCACTTCGTTCTTAGGAAGATAGAGCCAGAATTTGGGACCATAATTTAGAATTTTAAAATAACTAGCTATGGGGCGCCTGGGTGGCTCAGTCGTTAAGCGTCTGCCTTCGGCTCAGGTCATGATCCCAGGGTCCTGGGATCGAGTCCCACATCGGGCTTCCCGCTCTGCGGGAAGCCTGCTTCTCCTTCTCCCACTCCCCCTGCTTGTGTTCCTGCTCTCGCTATGTCTCTCTCTGTTAAATAAATAAAATCTTTTAAAAAATAAAATAAAATAAAATAACTAGCTATGTAGGAATATAAATCCGCTCACACATTTAGGCTTAATTATTCACCTCTGAGATAGTGACTTTTCCAACACGTGGGTAGCAATGCATTATGTGTGATGTAAGGAAGAGCCTCTCTTAGCAACAGAGTCCTGTGATATTGTAGATGTTCTCACCTTCTCACCCAAGACGGATGCGACTGGCAGAGAAACTTGCTAGTTCATACGTGGGAGGCCGTGTTTTAAATGGCTTCTGGGGAGATTGTCTTGTATGAGTTAGCCTACAAAATAGCTTTTGTCAGAGCCGTAAGAATCTGGTGGCAAATTTAGTGAAAGTGGTTCTAGATGAGAGTAGCTGCCAGCAAAGTGGGGGATGGCTGCGTGGGCAGAAGGGTACAGTCGGTACTGCTTGGAAAGAGAACAAGTCCCCCCCACCCCCGAATCTGCCCTTTCCAAATTCTTTCTCTTTTTCCCCTAGGTGAAACGGGAGTTAGCAGGTGTTCTCATTTTTGAGTCTCATGCCAAAGGAGGAACCGTGTGTAAGTAAACATAATGAACACTGTGCCTGGTGAGCCTCTCGCAAGCACAGGCCAGGGGAACCTGAGTGCAAATGCTTTCCTTGTTTGGGCCCACGTCACACTTAGCAGGATGTCATGTGGCGGTTTAGTTTCTCGGGGACCTGCGTTTCTTCTCAGCATGCATCCGTTCCATGGCTTCACAGGGGTTTTCTGGTACCAGCTTGGTAACTCTTGCCGGCCTGAGTCCCCACTTGCTCCCTGCTGACTCAAGGCAGTGTTTGGGGTGGGGGGGGGCAGTGACTTCATCAGGGAAGGACCCTATGCAGGACCTTTGCACAATGACTTCAGTTTGGTTTTCGGAGAACAAGTCTGTCTCTCGAGATCCCTAGTTAGAGCGATAAACGACCCTGCTTGCTTTTTCTTCTCTCACTTCCACTATCAGCTCCAAGCCTGAGAGGATTTCTTCGCCCCCAAATACTAAGGCAATGCTAGTATATCATTATCTCTCCAGAATCCAAGTTGTTTAGTTCTGTGCTGGTATTCGGAAGCAAGAAGTTGAAATTTGATATTAATAAATGTGAACAAAATTGTTTAGGCCATCATCTTCCCCAAGCTCTACAAAATTCGCACTCTTGACAAACATGGTTCATGATCTACTCACGTCAGGAAATGCCGCCTTCTCTAATCTCCCGTGGAGAATCAGAAGACACATCAGCACACTAAGGTTCTCAGAAGTTCTGCAGGAAAGAAAAATGTTCACTTCACTTAAACTGACACTTTTTAAACTTAGTGAAACATAGGACACCTTTTTAAATGGACACCTGTTAACTTTTCAAGAGATGTTCTTTGGAAAACCTTGCCCTTTCTTCAGACTGTGTTAGTCAAATAAGCAGGAACATGAATCGTAAAAGCAAAAAGTTATAAAAATTACATTTCAAAATGTTTTACTTTCAGTCATCAAAAGTGGTATCCCTAACATGGATATTTATTTTAGTAAGAATGTTTTTTCTTTACATTTTAAAGGTTCACTTTAATATTTTTTATTTTTATCATCCCTGATGACTTACAACTTCCCATTTATTTTTTTCATTCAAACTCCTGATTGTTTTCATTTTATTAAAAATAAAATATTTAAATATGGCATCTGGGTGCCTTGGTTGTGTGTCCGACTCTTGGTTTTGGCTCAGGTCACGATCTCAGGGTTGTGAGATGGAGCCCTGCATCAGAACTCCACACTCAGCTTAGAGTCTGCTTGAGATTCTCTCTCTCCCTCTCCCTCTGCCCCTCCCCCTGCTTGCTCTCTCTCACTCTCTCCTAAATAAATAAAATCTTTAAAAAGAATAGAGATTACAAGCACCTTTCTCATCTTCATCAAACACTAACATTATACCATTTTTTCATATTTTCTAAAGAATGGAATTATAGGGGTGCCTGGGTGGCTCAGTCATTAAGCGTCTGCCTTTGGCTCAGGTCATGATCCCAGGGTCCTGAGATCGAGCTCTGCATCGGGATCCCTGCTCGGCGGGAAGCCCGCTTCTCCCTCTCCCACCCGCCCCTGCTTGTGTTCCCTCTCTCTCTGTGTCTCTCTCTGTCAAATACATAAATAAAATCTTTAAAAAAAAAAAAAAATGAATGAAATTATAGGTACAATTGAAGACCCCTTGTTTCTTCCTTTATCTCATTCTTTTCTTCCCTCCCCAACATACTCCTACCCTTATGTAGTGGGCATCATTCCAACCCATTTTTAAATAATATGTAGATATGTATCCATAAACAATATGTAGTGCTGATTCTCATGTTTTCAAACTTCACATTTGTGGTCAGATTACTTTTAAAAACTATTTTCTCTAGCATAGTAAGTTTTGATGAATTGTGGGAGAAAGTGTATTTATTGCTCTAAGAAATGGATTGCTGGTGCATTGATCTCTAGTAAATTCATATCTTTTAGAGCATAGTGAATAGTGCAGTATTTCTGTTCCTTTCACGTTCTATAGAAAAGGAGATACTATTCCACCTGAATAAGTATTTGCCAGTAATTTTTTTTTCCTTCTGGAATAAATGCATAATTCTGAGGACTTAAAAATGATGATTTGATAAGCTGTAATTTATATTGATGTGCTTCTATTCTTGTCATAAGTCTTTTCATCTTTTTGTATCTAGTGTTTAACCAGGGGGAAGAAGGCACCTCCTGGTACATTATTCTAAAAGGATCGGTGAATGTAGTCATTTATGGCAAGGTATATATATCTTTTTCTTTTTGAAACTTTATTATGCTCCATTTACTAGTGTGGCTCTAAGTATTAACAATGCAGTGCTACAATTAAACTTGCAAGAACATTGTTACTCAACGTGGAAAAGACATTATAGCATCTCTAATCATAAATTATCTAATTTATACTCAGTAGAATTGAACACTAGAGGTGTATACATTTAAAATAAATACATAAAATGTATACATTTAAGTTAGGCCATAATCCATATTAGTCGATGAAAAAAATAAAACATTATGATATAATTATATAATTTTCCTTGGCATCCCTGGGTGCAGTCCATTTATATATACAGTGTGTGCGGGGAAGAGTATTTTGTGGTGTGAGGTGAGTGGATGTTTGCTCAGATTCAGGGACCCTCTTCATTGGAATGTTCTGCTCCCTCCAGGGTGTGGTCTGTACCCTGCATGAAGGGGATGACTTTGGCAAGTTAGCGCTAGTGAATGATGCCCCAAGAGCTGCTTCTATCGTCTTGAGAGAAGATAATTGCCACTTCTTAAGAGTAGACAAGGAGGATTTCAACCGGATCCTGAGGGTGAGTCCAAGGCAAAATGTGGCGGAGGGGCATCTCCTTTTTCCTTTTGCCAGACAAGTGAGGATTGGAGTGTGATGTTCATCGAGCAGTACTGTAACTACTGAATGCTCTAGGAACAAAGAGCCTTCGTTATAGACCGGGTGTGGTCAATGTGCTGGTGTGCGTTCTGTGACCCAAAAGGGGTATTCCAATAAAGCTGCAAATGCATGCATGCTGAGCCAGATCATTACACACACCCCTACCGGCCCATGAGAATTAAAGAAAAATAGGGATTGCCTTGGCCAAATGTCAAAGTCTGAGACATTTCTCTTTGGCAATTCCAGCTTTGCCATTTTGTGTCCTTCCCCACCTCACTCTCCCAGCCCTTTCTCCATCCTAGAACTTCTTAGTCTCCCCCTCCTGTCTCTTCCCAAATTTGAACCTTTTCCATATCATCACACCCTCTCCTGATTTATTGAGTGATTACATGTTAGTGGGAATTACCATCAGTCATGGTTACTCCAACCAAGCATTTTCATTTCAAGTGCTTTATGTCAAATTGATTCGTACTAAAGGAATTTCAGACTTCAGCAGGTAAGTGAAGAATAATTGGGGTGATGGAGACATGAAATTACACTTAGAGTTGGCTCTGCAGATGGGCCTAATCTAAGCTTGTTAAAGTATTTGTGAGCATGGGTGATGTTGAGAAGAGATGGTCCCTGGTCTTGCCCACTGCACCCACACACACCCACACCCACACCCACCCACCCACCCACACACACACACACACACAACCCCTGGTCCCTTGGGAGGGATGACCTAGCTTTGGCTGGTAAGGCTGATTGTGGCCTGCTGGGGATGATGACGATGTCCTACCACCCTTGGCCTCTCAGGTGGCCTGCAGTCCATCCCGCCCCTGCTTGAGTTTGGGCTGAGAGACTGTTCCCTCTAGGATCAATTTGCTCTTCTCCCTCCCTGCCTCTTCCAGCCTTAGCATCTTTCTCTATCCTACCCTGAAGTCCTAAATGCAGTTTCTGTGCTTTCTGGTACTTTGGCATTACTTCATGATGATTTACAATGTCATTCTCCATTCCTTATGTATGAACACCTATTCATACACAGCCTTAAGCATTTGCCTTTGGCGGCAAAATTTCTGACAACAGAGTTTGTCTTAGGAATGCATTCTCTTAATGCAAAGAAAGTTAAATTTAAAATTATCCCATCGATCGCTTCTCGGCCTTTTGGCTAAGATCAAGTGTAAAATTATCGCATCGAATAATATAGAGAAAAATGCCTCATGGAATTTGACATGGTTCTTAACTGATTTCTTTTAACATGGGGACCAAATGATGAGAAAAAGCACATTCAGATTTTTAATTTAATTGTTTAAATGACATCAAAATTTAGAGGTAAACTTTCGTAACTCTTTGAAGTTTACACACACAAAATTTCCATTCAGCCAAAAATAATTCTTTGAAAGAATCAGATCAGGATCATTATTGATACAGTTTATAAAATTGGCCAAAATAACTGAGAAATGTTTCTGATACATTTCAAACAGATTTTTTTAAAAACTAAACAGAGCCTTTTGATGAGAGAGAAAAGGTGCACATGTGTGAAAATGACACCCTCAGAAGAAAGTCAGAATGCAAAACCCGCCACATATTTTTGTAAGGATGAGTGCACTTGCTCTCCTCTCTTTCCGCTATGCCACCCTCTCCAAAAGGCTTCTCAGAGCACAACCACAATCCTCTCTCCTCGGCTGTTTTTTCTGAATCTGGGGTAAAAGCAGAGTTTTAAAAACCACACGCCTCAAACCTCATCTGGTCCTCTCTCTGACCATTCCAGCCCTGACTTTGAAAATGACTTAATTTGTAGATGCAACAATTAGCATCACAAGCACCAAATGAGTTTCTGAAGCATTTGAAATTTTTTTCATTGTCTGAGAAAACAGCAGCATCTGTATGTGGTGTAATTTGTATTTACAGGACGTTGAGGCGAATACAGTCAGACTTAAAGAACATGACCAAGATGTCTTGGTGCTGGAGAAGGTCCCAGCAGGGAACAGGGCTTCTAATCAAGGAAACTCACAGCCTCAGCAAAAGTAGGTTTGCATCCAACACTGCAATTGCCAGACTATGATTAACCTTTTCACATGGTATCATCATTTCTACAATAGCATGCTCTCCTTTTTTGTGGAAGACGGCAGTGTGTGTGACTTTTTTCTCTCTATTGACTAATCACACATCTTGTGGAGTATAATGTATCCATTTCTGGCACTGTTTTGAGCATGGTGCTGCCTGGAGTAATTCAGAGGAGACTGTTTCCCTACTCTACAGATGCTCTCTATATACCGTGTTCAACTGGAATAGCTTTGGAACAGAAGATGGGGAGAACAATGGAAATAGGAACGCCAGGCAGTGCAAAGGATGGGTAGGCCCCGAGGTGATGAGAACCTTCCTTTGGTATTTGAATTTCATGGGTAGGATCTCCCAAGAAGTGTTTTCATCTTATTAGAATGAGCATCTTTGCCGGAAACCCAGACTTCAGATATAAGGCAGTCTATTGATTGCAGCCCAGAAGCATCCATTTGGCCTTCACCATACTCAGTCCTGCTAACATCAAAAGGAGATTTGCTTCCCATGTCTCAAGCTCCCTGTCTAACTTGAACCTTTTTCAGATGTCTACGCTCAGTTCCATCTTTTGTTGCAACTTCTCGAATGAGGCTGTTTTCCCCATCAAACGTACCAACATTCGAATAGGAAGACAGGAGAACAAGGAAATGTAGCTTTAAGAAATTGTAGAAGATTGCAGAATCTTGTTTTTAAAGTAAAGATTAATCTTCAATCTTGGAATAATAAAAACACCAATTCTGTAGCTAAAGAAGAGTCACCAAATAATATGTTGAAAAAGAATGTCTCCCAAGTAATTTTCCTTTGTTTGCAACAAAAATGGGGTGTTCCCTTTAATCAGGCTACTCACAGTAACTGATGAATTTTTACTGTTTAGACTAAAAAAGCCCAAAGCTCAGACATTTTCATCTGGGTGAATCAACATATTTTCAAAGAAGGTGGGAAAAAATAGAATATTATTGAATAGCCATAATGTATTTTACGTGTTTTATGTAATCCTTACAACAATTCCCTTTTAACAGATGGGAAAAACTTAGGCTCAGAGAAGCAAGTTACTTGCCCAAGATTACAAAGCTTGTCATGGTAGAGTGGGCATCAGGTCTGGCTTGACCACTTCAGTGCTTTTGTGCCTTCAGCCATGAAGCTTACTGTAATTATATACAGTATGCAGGGGTTCCTGGGTGGCTCAGTCGTTAAATGTCTGCCTTCGACTCAGGTCATGATCCCAAGGTCCTGGGATCGAGCCCCGCATCGGGCTCCCTGCTCCCCGGGAAGCCTGCTTCTCCCTCTCCCACTCCCCCTGCTTGTGTTCCTTCTCTCGCTTTGTCTCTGTCAAATAAATAAATAAAATCTTCAAAAAACAATACAGTATGTAAATACTGTATCCTCAACACTATCACCTAAACACTTCAGACCGATACATTTCAAAAGGGCTGACATAAAACAGACTATATTAAAAAAAAAAAACTACCCTTTCACTTACAAACCTATAAATTGCCACCCAGAATTTTTTATTTATTTTTTTTATTTTTCACTACTATCCATTCTTAAAAATGTTCTTACACAAATGTTTTCAACAGTCTTCTTTCAGCCTACAAGGGATCAGAATGAGAACATTTTTTATGTGAAGGTTAGGCCCCTCCCCATTGATTTTCCTTAGTGGGCTTAAATATATCTAGACCATTTTATAGTGGTAATCTGCATTCTTTAATAATGCCTCAGATGTCTCAGGAAAAGTTTGCTACCGGAAAAAGGAAGCCTTGTAAATTCTCCTTAACCTTGAAACATTTGACCAAGAAGTCCCCTGGAGGCCCACTTCCTTCACCTCTTCATACCATGGGGGAATGATCAAAAGCGTTTGCTTGTTACAACATAGTCCATTCAGAGCACCTTCCAAATATAGATTTTTTTTTATGAAATCAAACTAAAGGGAACAGAAGAGGAGAAGCCATGTATTCAATTTATTTTAGGCCTGGATCTGATTTCCGTTATATCTCCTTTTTTGTGTTCTGTAGACCAATCCAGATTTCTTATATAATTCAAAAACGTGTGCATGTTCACAGCAAACCATTTAAGAAATATCAGTCAGCACAAAATAATGCACTAGGCAAGATCAGCTCTCTGAAGAGGAAAAAACCATTCTCTCAAGGGGTCGTTTCCCATGTTGGGCTTTCTGAAGCCAGACCAGAGTTAAAAGGGGACACCATGTAAGTGAATTTTGGCCTGATGTTCTGGATAACTTTGATAAGAGACCAACAATGATGTCTATGGATGGACTTACAACTTAGGAACTTTTAGGGCCTCTGTCTTTTCAGAAACCATCCTTTTTGAGCTCAAAGGGGGTCACCACATTGGTGCTGATAGTAATGTTATTTTTCTGATTCACTTTTCCCCTGAGAAATCCAGAACAGTTTTTATGTATACATGTTAAACTTTCAAAACTGCCTGACTGCCCAAGCCACTCAGCTCCGAGGGTGCTATTAAAACATCAATAGCAGGACAGTGTTTTTCATGGTGAATAAACTATCTGAGGCTCTCAGACGTTTACCATTTTAGATATCTGCTCTGTGGTTACATGATTTTAGGGAGAAAAAGATTTTGAAGTGACTGTTCCTGTTTTAGTTACTGTGTTGCTTTTTCCTTAGACTGTCAACCACCCAACTGCTGAGCTCCACCCTGTTTGCGGAAAGATAGTCTCTTTTAGGCTCTCCTCCCTCCGCATCTTTTATTGTTGTTGTTCTAGGTGCAGATAGAAGTGTCCTCATTTCCAGACTTGGCGTTTGGAAAAGATTTTCTGTCATGGCCTTAAAAGCCCACGGTTTGGATAATGTAACCAATTGGGGTTCTCTTTAACTTGAGCTAGAGTAGCTCCTTCACGCAATAAACTGAAGAGAGCCATGCTGTCTGGTATTCAAGTCCCTCATTTAAGCAGAGGTCAAGCAGAGGGCATCTGGCAGAGTCCAGCGTGAAACAACGCAATAACATGATGTTTCAGCCAAGCCCAGAGCTGCAAGATCACAGATGAACACGTCTGGCCAGAAGCTCCCTGGCCATCCCTCTCGAGAGTTCCCTGCCCTAGGAGAGTGTCCACACCTGCCCAGCCATCTATGGAGCTGGGGAGGGGGAGGATGGCTAAGGCAGCCCCCAGTTTTACCTCTAGAGGGAGCCATTGGTAGCAAAAACAAGATCCCCTGGGTCTGAGATTGACCAGGCGGACAGTTAGAGAGGTTGCTTCTCTCTAATGAGGTGATAGTTTCCTATCTTGGCTTGCCCCCCCACACACACACGTCTTTATTCTTTTTGACCAGACACAATCCTCTAGCTAAGGGATGTCCAAACCAAGAACACCAGAATGTGAAGCCAACCTGGCAGAGTTTAACTTTTGAGGCAGGAACAAATGTCAAACTGATGTATCCGTTCTGTAGCCAGCTTTAGAGCTTGCAGCCTCCTAGCAATAGCTGCCCGGGGCCCTGTCAAATCCAAGTAACTGGTGTTCGATCTAATGCATTTATACTCTTATTTAAATAAAACTTGTTTTCAGAAACAAACAAGCTCCTGTTCAGAATGAGCTCCAGAGACATAGCCTTGGCCCCAGCACTGCCTACAAGAGGAAAAAACCATGTCTTTTGCCTTCTTTATTTTGAGAAAGGAGTATTCTTTTTGAGATTAAATCCTATTATATTTGATTATTTATTTTTCTATTCCCTCTTTCCTCCTCTAGGCTCCAAGCCAGGTTTCCTCAAAGATGTAACTCCAGCTTCTTTCTGGTCCTGAGTGCATGCACACACTCACATGCAGACACACAGTAGTTTTGACTAATGGTCACCTTACCTTCCAGGGAGCCTGCATTTGCTACCTGTGTTTTCTCGTGCACAGGGTTATATGTTGGATTGCTTCTTCTATACTCCTTCAGGCAGGAGGTAAAGACCTTGAGAATTAATACGTTACAGATATTCTTGGGATCTCAGCACACTTCCCACCAGGTCTCAAACAGGCAAAGAAAGGGTGTTGGTGAGGAGACAAAGAAATCTGGGTTCTCCTGGAGCCGAATTATACCACTGCTTTCTGAACATACTCGAGTTTTATTTTCATTGTTGTTTTTCTTCCCATTATTTTGCTCTAAGTGAAATCCCGAGCAGAAAAGCAAAGTCTGAGTTTTAGAATAGGATCACTCAGATCATCTTAATGTATTTTGGCTATAGTTTTCATTCACTGTTTTGTTGCCATCTTCAAAATGACTTTGAAATAACCCACATTCAGTTTAAAACATAAATCCTATCCTGTGGATTGATGAAACCCATGGATGGATCTTCTGAAATAATGACTAACACCCCCACCCCAAAATTATAGATACTTGACAGTAAAATAAATTCTATAGATTTTCTACCGTTGATTTATTTCCTATTCCGATGCTACTGGAGTTTGTTTGCTCATTGGTGTTTAGGGTTTTGTTTTCCTTTCTCTTGTTTTATTTTAGCTGTGTTTCCAAAGCACATACCAGTATACAGTTGGGAAAGACAGAGCATTCCAGAAATAGGCAGGGGAATCCAATGTGGGACTGAGATTTTGCTACAAATAACCCATATATGGATAGCCTAGTTTACTGTCACTTCCCCTCACCATCTCCCCCTGCCTGACCTGAACTGCCCTGTGATTTACATGTTCCTTTCCATTCCCCTTGGAGCAAGGCTGAAGTTTCTCAGTTCCCAGCATGCGAGAGCCACTTTCCAAGTTTCCTTTAGTTCCATGTAGGGAAAAAAGAATAATGTTTTAGTAACTACTTCAATTTGTGGGGGTTTTCTTCATTGCCTTCCCATATGGCTTTGGCAAGGTATGTGGTCTCTCTTACCATAAGGAGAATATGGGCCATGAGTTAGGTCATTATGGTTCTCTGGGACTCCAAACATGAATAAATATGTGAAAACCAAATAAAATAGAAAACACAAAAACCTTAGATATGTAAAAAGTTGTTCATTAATAATTTGCCCACTTTTGAAAACCTAATGATGTTTTTATTTCTTATCCAGGTATACTGTGATGTCAGGAACACCTGAAAAAATTTTAGAGCATTTTCTAGAAACAATACGCCTTGAGCCAGCTTTAAATGAAGCAACAGGTAAACACAAAAACAGTTTTGTGTGTCCATTAAATCCATGCGGAGCACTGTAAAAAAAAATCCTGAATTCATTCTCAGTGTGTGTAGCCACACAGTTTCAGAGGGGAGTTATGTGTATCAACATTGGAACGCATTCCTGTGTGGCCAAGTCAAGGAGCAATCCTTCTGACCCTCCTCTGCCCACTCCAATTCTGGCTGTCCTTTGTACATGGCACAGTCTAGTTCATGCATATTAGGATTAGCCTTCCATACACATCCATTAGGTTATCATTTAAATCCTATCTGTTTCCATAAAGGATTTGAAGATGTCTACATAAAAAGCACCACCTTGTTCCAGCTGAGAGTAAAATGTTTCTGTCTGCAGTTGTAGATCCTCAGGCTGCCTCAGGGTGTCACTGAACACCCCCACCTGTGGTAGTCTGCTAGGGCTGTCATAACAAAGGACCACAAACTGGGTGGTTTAAACAATAGAGGTGTATTGTCTGAGAGTGCCAGAGGCTAGAAGTCCAGGATCAAGGTGACAGCAGGGTTGGCTCCTTCTGACGGCTACGAGGGAGAATCGTGCCACTCTCCTAGCTTCTGGTAGCTTGCCAGCAACCCTTGGCATTCGTCGTTCTGTAGATGCTTCACTTTGATCTCTGCCTTCATGTTCACATGGCATTTCCCCTGCTTTTCACATAGCCTTCCCTCTGTACATCTGCCTCTGTGTCCAAATTTCCCCTTTTCATAAAGGATACCATTCATATTGGATTAGGGCTCACACTAATGACCTCTTCTTAACTACATCTGCAAAGACCCTATTTCCAAATAAGATCACATTCTTAAGTAGTGAGGGTTACGATTTCATCATATCTTTTTCAGGGGGAAATCATTCAACTCATAATACTGTCTCACAGTGAACCAGTCCTCTTGACTAAGACTCAGAGATTTGAGGATGAATGAGATGAATTTCACCACTAAACTCCATGTTCAGAGTTATGATATTGTTCTCCATTTCAGTTACCATCTTGTACATGACTTTGGAACAGCACATATTCAACTTAAAAAAAAAAAATCCTATGTTACTGGCCTGTCTCAGAAAAATAGGTTATTATTTTAAACACACCGAGCCCGTAGATGAACATTTATCACTAAAAGAAGTTCAAAGATTTACTCAAATACTTAGTGATAGTTCAGAGCCCAGTTCCATCACCTTTGCAATATAATCAAGGTAAAGTCATCATCATTATTATATACCTCCAAAAAGTATTTTGCCACTGATTGACTTATTTTATCTCCTCATTCCAGCTTCTCATTTTATAAGCAGGTTACCAGATTTGTTCTCATGTAGCAAATTAATTGGGGAGTAGTCTATATAAAAGCCAGGATCTCTGACTCCAGAGCAGTCATTTTCGGTTCAGTATGTGTTGAATATTCTGTTGGGCAGACACAATGCTGGGTGCTTTGGACTAGGTAAGGTGAACCAAAAAAACCACCCTCCAGTCCTCAGGAAGTTTGTAACCTGCTAAAGGACATAGAGGGATGTGCAAATAACTTGAACATAAGGCAGAATGTGGCTAGTGCTTCAGGAGGGGACTAGCTGAGGGGACCAGGCAAAGTGTCATGGAGAATATAGCCTTTGAAGTGGCCCTCAGGAAGGTGGGATGCTAGTAACAAGAGACTGGGGACAAAGCCTGACATATTGAAGGACATTAGTACTGACCTAGAAATGGGCAAGGAGGACCAAGTGGTCTGGTTCTGCCAGACTATCATATATATAAGTGGGAGGAGGAAGGTAAGGTCTAAGAATTTGACTACAGATCTTACAGGCTCTTCAGGGCAAAGCTAAGTAAGCATTGGGGAATGGTTGAAGATGTCTGAGCAAGAAGAATGTGAGAAAAACTTTTCTTGAGAAAGGAAACCCTCAATGGACCCTAGAAGGGGAGTCCTTGCTTCTCGGAGGCATACATAACCCCAAATAAACCAAATTTCTAGAACCTGGTGTCAGGAAAAATATAACCGGCCTTTCCCCTCTGATTAACTATTTGCCCAGAATGTGTGATTGCCTAGTGCAAGAAACAGCATGTTCTGTAAAGTGAATATTGATTGAAAAGGAAGATTCTTGTATATGAGAGACTATGGCATCTAAGCAAAGATCTGTAAGATCTTTCCTACCCATGAAGAACAAATATATTCTTCCTTTTAAAGTCACCTCTAAAAGAGGTAGGGACTAGATTATTGCTTCTTCAGAAATTGAAGCCTAGAAATCAGTGCGTTCTGTGGCTGGCATGGAGAATGTGATTCCTGACCCTTCCATTTTTGTTGTTGGAACCAGGTTCAACATCATAATTTAATATCGAACTTCATTCTCTGCATTTTTTTTCTGATTCTATTCTTCTTACAAGTAATGTTCATGGCTTGGAGATAAAGAACAAATCATTATCTTTCTCATCATCAAGAATGTGAATGTTCTACACAGTCCTCCTGGACACTCAAAGTAACCCAAGTACAGGCCCACAAAACACGGATGCAGAAGAGTGGGAGACTTTGGCATTTTTGGGTTTATAATACAGTGAGAAACCTCAGAGTTGACAGTGAAACTGGTTTTCATCATAGAAAGGAACACCCCTGGGTCTGACAGTACATTCTCTTAATTTACCAAAACATCTGTTTTCTGCCTAAGACCTATTAGTTTCCTAAACTTTTTACTTCTATGATCAGCATTAGTCATTGAGTGACTTGAGAAATTATTTTCTAGTAGGAAATGATTTTTTAAATCAGTTCTCAAGAGTTACTGCCTATGAGCAGAGAACAGAAAAGCCACATTGAAATGTGGGTGCTGGGTGGTTACTCTGCTAGGTGACCAGCTCGCCAGCCTTTGAGTCCCCTACTCAAATCTCTGCTTTAGCAAAATTTAAGCTACTCTGTAGCATAGTTCTTTGGGGACTCTTATAAGCAAGCATTACTCCCCTATCTTTAGGGAATACCTAAAATTTATATAAAGGTGACCCTAGAGGTTAAACTTAGACAAAGCCAAAGTCCTTTTGCACTTAAGGGGAAAAGTTACAGTTTGTCTGGCACCTTCTCAGCTTCTTCTCTGAGGCTGAATAATGGGACTAAAATAGCGGGTAACACCAAGTGATGATAGGGTGGGAATACACTCATGGGTTGTAATGAGTCTAATGGCATCACGTGACTTGAAAGGGATGTTAGCGAATAGGACGGTGATCATATTGTCATATGTAAATGTATCAGATCCACATGTTGTACACCTTAAATTTACACAATGGTACACATCAGTTATAGCTCAATTTTTAAAACATAAGTTCATTTAAAATATAGACATTGGAAATCTAATATATTCAATTAAAATATTTACATTTCTTACCATTTTCTATTTGAAAAATGACATGTGTTTCACAAAATCTCAGTGACCATCTTAATATACCAGAGAGCTTTTGTTTTGTTTTGTTTTGTTTTGCTTCAGTTACTGCTCCTAGACTTTATGTCATCCTTTTTTCCCCCTGCTTTTGTTTCCCTCACCAACTTTCTGCTCTTATCACCTCCTTTTTCTAGAATTCCATTGTCCACTCATCTTTCATTGCTCCCTATGGAAACAAGGAGTGGAAAAGACATAAAGGAAAACAGATGTTGACATAAGATATATGGTGTAAGGTAGACAAAGAAATGACCATATGTGAATCCTGCACATGTGGAAATGCCCATGGGTAGCTCTTTAATTATAGGTATTTTTTAATATACATGTGGCTAAGGTGACCAGTGCTGTTGGTAAAAGCTGTCTCTTTTTAAAATACTATACTTTTGGTTCACTGTCCTAAGACATTGAGTTTTGGTCTCAAGCTTGTGAACATTATTGTTTTTATTTGCAGTGCCTCTATGTACAGCCAAACCACAATCCCCCAAGCCAATGCAGAAGACCATCAACCAAGAACAAACGAATAGATACTCTTGCTTTTCTAAAGACTTCTGCAAAAAACCTGATTTCTTTTTCTGCTTTGCTTTTCTCCTCCTGCAGATTCTGTTTTAAATGACTTTGTTATGATGCACTGTGTTTTTATGCCAAATACCCAGCTTTGCCCAGCCCTGGTGGCCCAATATCCTTTTGTGGTTTGAAGTCTCTATTCCCTTGAAGATGCCCCACATCTATATGGTCATTATCTCATTCTCTGAAGGTAAGTCACAGTCCAGGCAGGGTCATGCCCTCCACCTTTGTCAAACTGAAACGCCCGCAGTTTTCCCCTGGCGTAGACTCCAGCCCTCTCTAGTAGGTTTTGTCGTGCCGCGTGTAAGGATCTCCTCCTCATTACCTGTGTAGAGAAATGTGAGCCAAGTTACCTCAGGAAGGTGATGCCTACCTGGGAGGTAGGCTAAAGAAAGTTATGGAGAAGAGTATTCTTAGAGAGTATTCGTAGGGACAGTTCCCTAACCTTGGAGACAGACTCTGTGCCTCTGCAGGGTACCTGACAGCATGGCCCCAGGCCTGCCTGCATTCTTCCTCCAAGCCCCAGTATTAATCCCTTTGCGCATAAATACCAAAAAAGTGACCATCATGGGGTAGCTTTACTTTGACATCTGTCCTAGTGCATTCTCTCCTCCAGATACAAAATGGATTTCTTCATTGTTTTTATTTTTATTATTCTCACACTGACTGAAGTCACACAAAACTGGAAATTCTAATGGCAGTTCCCCTGGGCAGCTGGAGCGCTGAGTTTGTCTGGGGCGTCTTGTCAATAGTCTGTTGAATTGACCAATTGGTACATAGTATCTGGCACACAGAGCATTCAGAAAATCAAGTTGAATAAAAATGGTGAATGTTATTGAGTTACACCCTCAACTTCAGGGGTCATGTGAAAGTATATTTTCCAGTTCTGCTTTATTTTTAAAGCAACAAAAATGTAGACCCCAAAACACTTTGGCTTTTTGAGGAGTAAAATCTATTGAAGGAGAATGGCTTTCTTTTTCTCTGAGCAATCCAATCAATGTTGCATGTTTTTCTTTTTCAGAATTATAATTGCCTTACCTGATTCTCATTTTCTTGTTCAGTCATAATTCTCTTTGAAGTCAACGGAATGTGTGAGGATGGGAGATTTGAGTTGAATGTGTTATTCAGAAGGAACTGCAAGAGTGAGATTTGGGTGTTTATTTGCCTGGAAACTATCTTTCCAAGTAATGACAGCTTAATGAGACTCACAAACATTATATATTCTTTCTGGCTTATATTCAGTTTTTCTCAAGTAAAGTTAACATATTCAGGATCTCTCTGTGCTCTTTTAACTCCATGCATGGTAATCGTTATTAGACCTTTGAGACTTGTTAGAAGGAAAAATAAAAACCACCACTGAGTTCAGACTTATTTTTTTCCAACAGTTAGCATGTCAATAAGGTTAAGGCAAACAAAATGCAAAGAAGAGCGAGGGAGTATAGCGGGCCACGCCATACCATCTTTACAAGTAGAAACCCCAAGCACCAGGCTTCTGTGTTTTTGCAAATTCTGATTTCTTCATTTATTAGCTTGTTCTCCTTTGGAGCTGATTAAGAACATTCATATCACTGACTTCTGTTTTTAAAATAGAAGCTTCTAGAGGGAAAGTCCATGCTATGTCCAGGTCAGGAGGTGTAGGGAAAATGGTAGTGGGAGGAGGAGAGGAAGTCAGGAAGGTGAACAGTGGAATCAAGAGAGGCCTGTGATTTCCGATCCTGATTCTTTTCTCAGTAGACAGAGGGAATCCAGGATGGCTGGCTGTCATCTAAACTACCTAGTGCCCTCAGATCACTTCCTTCATACTTGGCCCTACGAGAAGTTAGATTCTCTCCATTGCTCTATTTTGAATCAACTCCCTGTGTGTCAGGCACCTTGCTAACAGCATTGACCCATATTATATTCCTTTATCCTTACAGATGTCTATTGGGTTAGTATTAGCTTTATTTTACAAGGATTCTGGGACTCAAAAACAGTGGGGTGACATGCCCAAGGCAAGTGACAGAGTCAGGATTCATCCAGGTCGTTGGATTCCAAGCCTGGAGTGTGTCACTTTTTTTTCTTCACAGATTATTTCTTTAAGAGCTTAGAGTTAAGCTTAGAGTTAAGAATACTTCTTGATAACAGATTGCAAGATACATGTTTATCTGTGTTTCATTTGACTAAAAGCAAAGTAGGCCTAACTTACTGAAACCGAATAAATAAAGCATTCAGTAGAAATTTTCTCAATCATAGAAATATTCTGTTTCTGTGCTAGACCAGTATCTGCTAGCCTTGAAATTCACTACTATGACTGAGGAACTGATTTTGTAATTTTACTTAATTTTCATTAATTTAAATTTAAATAACCATGTGTGGCTTGTGGCTGCCATATTGGACAACATCAGTCTAGTTCTTAGATACTGGGAATGAGAGCCTCAAACAAGAATTGCTGTTCTGTGATGCCTAGGGAGGGCATCCCAGGGATGCCAGGGGCTTACCCTGCTACAGGAGAGCAAACAGAAGATGGTGAGGACTCAATTTGTAGTTCCCCTTTCTCTCTAGGAACATGTTATGTGGGCTTCTTATATAGGCTAAGTTTTTTTGGTCATTAGTAGCATAAACCAACTGTGACTGTCGTAAGGAATATAGGAATGCCCCAGAGGGATGTGGGGTCACTCAGAGAATTGAAGGAATCCTAGAAGAGCCCAGACTTTCAAAAGGGGCCTCAGGGGCAACAAGTAAAGACTGTGCTTTGGGGGCAAATCTGCTCCAAGCATCCTGGGCCCTCACCTGATTCCCACATCCCTAGGAAGGAGGGTCTCGTTGGCCTAGCTTGGGTCCCTGCTGACGTCTTGGTCAAAGGAAGGCAAAAGATTTTCACAGACAGCCCCCCAGAGACTGCCTGTAAAGAAAAACAGAGAGGGCGCCTGGGTGGCTCAGATGGTTAAGCGTCTGCCTTCGGCTCAGGTCATGATCCCAGCGTCCTGGGATCGATTCCCACATCGGGCTCCCTGCTCCTTGGGAGCCTGCTTCTCCCTCTGCCTCTCTCTCTCTCTCTCTGTCTCTCATGAATAAATAAATAAAATCTTAAAAAAAAAAAAAGAAAGAAAGAAAAACAGAGAAAGTGGAGAAAAAGGTGATAAGCAGACAAAACAACAAATATACATAAACTGCTTAACGCCTCTTGCACAAGCGACGGGGAGAAATCGTGTAAAGCTGAGCGAGTGGGTTATCCCCCATTATTAACATGAGAGAAGGGACACACTTAACCCCGTTCCAGTAAAGCACTCACATTAAAGTGAGTTGCTTTGGCTGAGTGTTTTCAAAGTACTTAATATCTGTGACTGTGCCTAGCAGCCCTATGAAGAAGTCCGTACTTTCACTACTCTTTTTCCAAATCAATAAACGAGTATAATGAAAAATTATGATTTGCTCAGAGAAAGGTAATTACTAGTACAGAAAAGATTTGAGCCCTGAGCCACTGACACCTATTTCTGTCCTTAATCCTCCAATTTTGCTTTTAGCACAGAGGAAGATGGTAGAACTCTGTTTAACATTAATATTTCAGGTCTTTTATGTGCTAATAAGAGAGAATCTCTATTCATTAGATATGCTTGGAACACGATTTCACCTGATGAATACAAGTGCTTTCTAATGAGTTTTTTTAATTATATTTGTTCAATTTCTGTACTTTTCATCTTCAGTTTCTTTAATCTTTTTAAAATTTGCATGTAAAATTCAGCTCAGTTTTCCACTAGTCTTTAAAAAGAAAAGTAAAACTACCTATAACCCTATCAGGTAATACCATTGTTAACATTTTGGTATGTATCCTTCCAGTCTTTTTTTCTTCACATGTAGTTCTATATTTTTCAATATAACAATAGAATCATACTGTAAGTAATTTTGTATGCTTTGTCACTAAAAAATATTTTATGAATATCTTTCTCTGCCATTAAATAGTTCTCCACAGTTTTTTTCAATAGTTCTTCAGTTTTTTCTATATAGGTATCTTATATAAGTAAGATTATGTTGTATATGCTTTTTTGTAATATGTTCTTCTTCACTTAATAGTATGTTGTGGATATCTTTTCAGACATATAAATGTATGTTTATATATATATAAATGAAACTACATCTTTTTTTCAGTTAATTCCATAAACTCTTATTAAACACACTGTGTCATATAGTGCTGGGCAACAAGGTGACACAGATACATGAGAAAAACATGCTATCATTTTCATTAACTCACAATATTATATGGTAGATATGTCATAATCTATTTTCTTAGCCTCTTCCTATTGGATATTTACGGGGTTTTTTTCAAAATTTTTTCCTATGACAAACACAATGGGATGAATCAACATCCTTCCAGCTAAATCTTTGCCCACATATACGATCATTTCCTTACTTTAGAAGTAGACAAAGAGTATGTAATATTTTAATGCTTTTGATGTTTACTACAGCATTGCTCCCCTGTTGTCTTAATTATGTGTTTTATGATTAAACTCTAGCATATTTTTATTTGTACAAATGCATGCAGGCCTTCAGTTCAGTAAGTGATCACAATTAAGTTAATGTTATTTTGAATTTTAGTAACTACATCCTTGATTTGGAGAATTTCCCATCATTTACTTTATCTTCCCAGCACCCAGCCCCCACATGTGAGGCATAAAAAGGACTGGTATGATATTTATTTCATTTTCCATGTGGGAGAAATCAAGGCACATGGAGCCAAGTGAGCACCTAAGATTACACATATTCTGGCAAATGTTTGGAGAAACTCCATGTAGCACTAAATAATTCCAGTTGCAATGGACATTGTCCTTGTCATCAGTGCCATCTCAGTGGGTCAGTCTAGCTACTCAGTAGTTGGCTGCCCTTGGTCATGGTTTGTTCTCATCTTGCAGGCCCAAAGTAGACTGAGATTCAAAGAGGGGCTTCCTGGGGCTTCTGGATAAAAAGCTCTCTTAACCTTTAAGAAAGAGAGCAGGAAGCCTATAGCCCCAATTGCCAGTGATGGCCTTCCTATGATGACTAGGGAAATAAGTCCTATGACAAAGCTGAAATGCATGGAGAGTCAGGAAAAAAAATGGGTCTGATAGTATCATTACACTTGTACCAGTCCTGAAGCTT